AACAACAGTATTGAATTAACTAGCAACAAATATGTTAGATTATATGTTGTTGTCGTTAAGTGCCGTCCAGTCGGACCTGACTCACAGTGACCTGTCCTTGGGTTGCCGAGGCGGTATCACTACAGAAGTAGATTGCGCAACCTGCTTTCCAAGGAGTGGCTGGTGGGTTTGAACCGCTAGCCTTCTGGTTAGCAGACAGATGCCTTAGGCACTATCCACCAGAGCTCCTGTTAGATTATATAGCTAGTTATTATTATGTTAGAGGAGCTCTGTAGTGTAGTGCCTAAGGCACTTGACTGCTAACCAGAAGGCTGATGGTTCAAAACTACCAGCCACTTCTCGGAAGGAAGATTGGGCAATCTACTTCCTTAAGATACTGCCTTGGAAACCTAAGGAGGAATTGCTGAGTTGGAACCCACTCAACGGCAGTGAGGGTTTTTTTTGTTTGTTTGTTTGTTTTTTAATTATGTTAGAGAAAGTCAAAAAAAGGATGAACGTACCAGTTCTGTTATCCATTGACAGTGATAACAGCCATCTTCTTCTTCACCAAAGATCTGTTCTTTAAGTGCTAGAATAGCTTAGTCGTGGCACCGTTTCCCATCTGGTTCAGTGAGAACAAGGAAAGAAAATAACACCATTTGTAAAGACTTCTGACATGAGATCTGAACCACCACAACTCGGTCCTCCATGACCATCTACTCCTCCTCATGCTCTGCAGACACTAGTGTGGCCATGTGGGCCCTTCCCAAGACCTATTCTCTCTCCTTTCAGAAAGAATACATCATCTCCACTCTTACATATACACCCACTGCCGTCAAGTCAATTCCAACTCAAAGTGGCCCCATAGGACAGAGTGGAACTGACCCAGAGGGTTTCCAAGGCTGTAATCTTTACAATTTAGAGATAATCTCAGGAATAGGTTAGACACATTGAACACTAATGACCAAGGACCAGAGCAATTGTGAGATTACATCAAGGACATCACACATGAAGAAAGCAAAAGGCCATTAAAAAGATAAGAAAGAAAGAAGAGACCAATATGGATGTCAGAGGAGACTCTGAAACTTGCTCTTGAATGGAGAGTAGCTAAAGCAAATGAAAGAAATGATGAGATAAAGGAGCTGAATAGAAGATTTCAATGGGCAGCTGAAGAAGACAAAGTAAAATGTTACACTGAAATGTGCAAAGACCTGGAGTTAGAAAACCAAAAGCGGAGAACATAAGCTGAAAGAACTGAAAAAAAAAATTTTGAAACCTCAAGTTGCAATATTGAAGGATTCTATGGGCAAAATACCGAACAATACAGGAAGTATCAAAAGAAGATGGAAGGAACACACAGAGTCTGTATCAAAAAGAACTGTCGGTGTTCAGCCATTTCAGGAAGTTGCATATGATCAAGAACAGATGGTACTGAAGGAAGAAGTCCAGTCTGCACTGAAGGCATTGGCAAAAAGCAAGGCTTCAGGAATTGATGGAATACTCACTGAGATGTTTAAACAAGTGGATGCAGCACTGGAGGCACTCACTCAGCTACACTAAGAGATGTGGAAGACAGCCACCTGGCAACTGACTGGAAAAGATCATACTTGTGCCCATTCCAAAGAAAGGTGATCCAATATAGAAAACATCTAACAATATCATTAATATCACATGGAAGTAAAATTTTACTGAAGATAATTAAAAAATCGTTGTAACAGTACATCGACAGGAAACTGCCAGAGATTCAGGCGGGATTCAGAAGAGGGCATGAAACAAGGGATATCATTGCTGGTACCAGATAGATCTTTGCTGAAAGCAGAGAATACCAGAAAAAATGTTTACTTGTGTTTCATTGGCTATGCAAAGGCATTCCATTGTGTGGCTCATAACACATTATGGATAAAATTGCAAAGAATGGGAATTCCAGAACAGTTACGCTCATGAGGAACCTGTACATAGACCACAAGGCAGTCATTTGAATAGAACAAGGGAATACTGCATACTTTAAAATCAGGAAAGGTATGTGTTAAGGTTGCATCCTTTCACCATACTTACTCATTCTGTATACTGAATAAATAATCTGAGAAGCTGGACTCTATGAAGAAGAACGCAGCACCAGGATTGGAGGAAGACTCATTAACCTGTGACATGCAGATGACACAACCTTGCTTGCTGAAAGTAAAGAGGACATGAAGTACCTATTGATGAAGATCAAAGACTGCAGCCTTCAGTGTGGATTCCACCTCATCCTAAAGAAAACAAAAATCCTCACAACTAGACCAATAAGCAACATCATGATAAACAAAGAAGATATTGAAGTCGTTAGGAATTTCATTTTACTTGGATCCGCAATCAACACCCATAGCAGTTGTTGTTGTTATGTGCCGTTGAGTCGGACCCGACTCACAGCAACCCCTCCTTGGGTTTCTGAGGCAGTATCATTATGGAAGTAGATTGCCCCATCTTCCTTCCAAGGAGTGGCTGGTGGGTTTGAACCACTAGCCTTCTGGTTAGCAGTCAAGTGCCTTAGGCACTATGCTCCCAGAGCTCCCCCCATAGCAGTAGCAGTCAAGAAATCAAAAAACATTGCATTGGGCACATCTGGTGCAAAAGACCTGTTTAAAGTGTTTAGAAGCAAATAAGTCACTTTGAGGACTAAGGACTGTCTAACCCAAACCATGAGTATTTTCAGTCACCTCACATGCATGTGAAAGCTAGACACTGAATAAGGAAGACCAAACAAAGAAGAATTGATGCCTTTGAATTGTGGTGTTGATGAAGTATATTGAATACACCATGAAATTCCAGAAGAGTGAACAAACTTGCCTTGGAATAAGTACAGCTGCATGTTCCTCAGAGGTGAGGGTGGTGAAACTTTGTGTCGCATACTTTGATCATATTGTCAGGAGGGAGACGGCTCTGGGAAAGGGCATCACGCGTGGTCAAGTAGAGGGTCAGTGAAAATCATGCAGTTGAATGAAGTGAGTTGATGCAGTGTCTGCAACAGTGGGCTCAGATACAGCAACAATTGTGAGCATGGTGCAGGACCAGGCAGTGTTTCGTTCTGTTGTACATGAGGATGTGACAAATTAAAACTGACTCTATACAGCAGTCTCTACTGCCACATGTTTCTTCTAGGAGCAGCTGATGAGTTTGAACTGCCGACCTTTCAGTTAGCAACCAAGTGCTTAACACTGTGCCCCTGGGGTCTCCAAGGCTGTCCTCACAGCTGTGAAACCCAAACCAAACCCACTGCCCTGGAGTCCATTCTGACCCACAGCGCCCCTAGAGGACAGAGAGGAACTGCCCACAGGGTCTCCAAGGCTGTCAGTCTTCACGGAAGCAAAGCCCAAACCACACCCACTGCTGTGGAGTCAATTCCGACGCACAGCACCCCTGGAGGACAGAGTGGAACTGCCCACAGGGTCTCCAAGGCTGTCAATCTTCACAGAAGCAAAGCCCAAACCACACCCACTGCCGTGGAGTCCATTCT